TCGCCTATGGTGAAAATTCAGCTTTATCTAAACGTTCTCGAGTCACTGCCTGGTTGAAAATTGTATGTTACTACCGAATATGAGTACTGAAGCAATTTTTCTGAAACCACGTGCACCATTCAAACTGGCTGTCTTCAACGTTCTCACACTTATGCAGGTCGGACAACAGATAGGGCTGGCTATGTCTTTGGAAAGTCTTAATATTGATGTGTGTTGTCTATCCGAGACCCGTATTCAAGACTCTGGTGAAGTACTACAAGTTCGCTCTCCACTGTCACTTCAAAAAGCTTGTTTTATATGCGTTTATCCGGGGACCCTGTGGCATCTTCGTCTGGTCTTGCTGGCGTTGGTGTCGCACTAAGCGCTAGAGCTGAGGCAGCACTAGTCGACTGGATCCCCATTAACAGTCGGTTATGTGCTGTTAGATTAGAAAGTTCCATCAAAGTGAGAAGAAATCGGCGTGAGAAACGATGTCTTTTCGTCATCTCCGCCTATGCCCCGACAGATTGCAGCCCGGATGCAATCAAGGATGAGTTCCACCACCAGTTACCTGTTCTTCTCCAGAAAGTGCGTACTAGCTGGAGACTTGAATGCTCAGGTCGGGCGTCTAGGCACAGAAGCGAGTCGTTTAGGTGACCGATGGGGACTCGTTGGTCGCAGGACAGATAACGGGGAACGTCTACTGCAACTAGGAACAGATCACAACCTGTTTCTGGCTAGCACTAACTTTCGGCACAGTCACCGCCGATGTGCCACCTGGCGTCCTCCTTCTGCATCTCAAGCCTGGACTCAGATTGATCACATCGCGATCAGCTACCGCTGGCGTGGTTGTGTACAAGACTGTCGCTCCTTTTAGAGTACCTATCTGGAATCTGATCATGCTCTGGTCTGTGACAATCTTACCTTACTTTTCAGTGGACAAAGAAGTGACCGCCACCAAAGGATTGATGTTATCAAGCTGACTGCAACTTATGTTGCTATCGAAACGAGCTAGCTTCTAGGTTAGCTACCATTCCACCGACAAGTATAGATGAGCATTGGTTGCAATTGCATGACACCATGAAAATGGCGGGTCAAGTCAGTTGTGGGTTCGCAAAACGTCCCGCTTATAAGCACTGGGTTTCTTCTGGTTCCTTACAACTCACTGATGGCCGTCGGTCTACTCCGGTTGACCGTGAGTTTGACCACAAACGAAGGATGTTACATACTGAAGTCGGACAAAGCTTGCGTAAGGACCGAGAAGCCTGGTGGTCGGGGCGTGCTAATGAGCTGGAAGCTCTTCCAACTCATCCGAGCCACTGGCAGCAAGAAGTCTGGTGTGACCGAACCAATCTGCGAGGATGACGGAACGCCAATAACTAACATCCATCGACGTCTTGGACGATGGGCAGAATTCTTCGAAGAGCAGTTCAACTGGCCTGATACTCCGGCAACATTGCTCAGACTGTCCTGCCGTCCATGGCCGGTGACGGCTGATCCACCAAATGAGGCGGAAGTCCGCAAGGAACTCCAACTCTTGAAAGGTTACAAAACACCGGGCCCAGACGACTTACCTCCGGCTCGTTTTAAAGATGGTGTTGACTTTCTGACTAAGGAACTGACGACGTTGTTTACAAGGGTCTGGGAACTAGAGTGTGTATCAAACTGATGGAATGAGTCGATAGTTGTCCCTATCTTTAAAAAGTGTTCACTTGGTTCCTGTAACAACTGTCAGGGGATAAGTCTACTTCCGATCGCGTCCAAGCTATTGGCTTCCGTTATACTTCGTAGGTTATTCAATACCCGATAAAGATTGACTCGCGAAGAGCAGGCTGGGTTTCGTTCTGGTCGAGGATGTATCGATCATATCTTCACCCTCCGCCAAGTGTTAGAACAACGTCATACTTATCAAAGGCCAACAATCGTAGTGTTTCTTGATATCAGGGCTGCCTTCGATTCGTTGGACAGAACTGTTCTCTGGGATTGTCTATTGAAGAAGGGTGTGCCTGAGAAGTTTATTAACATCCTAAAAGCCCTATACACAAACACCTCAGGCAGAGTGAGGGCATACAATCACCTTTCTCCACTATTCCATTCGAGCAGTGGGGTTAGGCAGGGTTGCCCAATCTCACCATTCCTCTTCAACTTTGCCATCGATGACATTCTGGAAACAGCTCTGATGGATGTAAGTAATGGTGGTGTGGATCTGTTGCCTAGAGAAAGACTTCTCGACCTTGAGTATGCGGATGATATTGTCTTACTGTGCGAGAATGCCCAAGTCATGCAATCCGCACTTAATCAGTTGGCAATCAGTGTCCGTAGGTATGGTATGTGCTTTGCACCTTCGAAGTGCAAAGTTCTTCTACAAGACTGGCAGGATTCTAATCCTGTACTCACTCTGGATGGTGAGCAGATAGAAGTGGTCGAGAAGTTCGTGTATCTAGGTAGCTGCATAAGTGCTGGTGGTGGTGTGAGTGATGAGATCAATGCACGTATAGTGAAAGCCAGAGCGGCTTATGCCAATCTGGGCCATCTTTGACGCCTTCGTGATGTTAGTCTGGCTGTAAAAGGTCGGATCTACAACGCGACGGTGAGAGCAGTTTTGCTCTATGCTTGTGAAACCTGGCCTCTCCGAGTTGAGGATGTTAGACGACTCTCTGTGTTCGATCATCGTTGTCTCCGAAGGATTGCTGGCATCCAGTGGCAACACCATGTCAGTTATGCAGAGGTTCGGCATCGAGTGTTCGGTCACAGAGACGATAATGAAATTGGTGTCACCATCTTGAAACACCGACTTCGGTGGCTTGGACATGTTCTACGAATGTCGTCCCAGAGAATTCCACGTCGTGCATTATTTGCCGACTCTGGGACTGGTTGGAAAAAGCGGAGAGGTGGTCAGTATATGACATGGTGTCGTGGTATGAAAGAAAGCTGCAAAGGGCTAGCTTCTGTTGGTCCTTCACGACTCCCTGGTTGGAGTCCGAGAGACGGTGTAACGCAGTGGCTAGAGACGTTATCAGATATGGCTAAGAATAGAAGCCAGTGGCGATCGTGCTGTAACCTCTTACTTTCTTCATAAAAAGTGGTTGTATATTCCTTAACTGAAAGATCTCTTCTGATTGTACCTTTCCGTTACCCCCACCATTGTTTTCTCTCTCCCTTTATTTAAAATTCCCCACCATCATGACATTTTATTTCTCTTTTCTCCTTCTCTTCAAATTATCATTGTTTTGTGTGGAGCATATATATTAAGTGCCCCCCTTGTACCAATATTTATGTGTTCAAATAAATACATGCAACTAGGTGAGTTTCCAGTGAGTCAACGAAGCTTCCTGTGGGCAAAGCCGGACTTTCAGGATGAGATGAATTCGTGTCTTTAATTGAGCGCTTCCCGTGAACTAGAATCAGTCTAGAATTACAACATTTAATATTAGAATATAATAGCCACCATACCATGGATGTTTGATCAATCCATAGAGAATGGTGTGAAACCATGTTTTATAAACATTGTTAATTTGGCTGTGGTAGTATAGAGAAAGAGAGTAGTGAGTGTGAGTTGAAGTATATTAATAAAAGTAACTAGGGTACGTATGGGATTATTAGTGGATGAGAAGAGGTGGTGGGGCGAAGTTGGTTGACTGTGTCCTGTAGGCCTTATTGTTCTCGCTTTATTCAAAGTCATCGTAATGATTAAATGTGTGCGCTTCGTCAGTCCTTGAACCTAGGATTTTCTATATCGTGTTCCGCCTAGCCTAGGTGTTCAGCAATGATTTACAACTGAGAATTATGTGATTTCAGTTTTAGAATTGCGAGTGAGCATAGCAAGGCGTATACTAAGTAATTGGGAAATTGTGTGAATCAGTCAAAAATGCGAGCACAACCTGACGTCACTGAACTTGTGAGTGTCCTTTGTAGAATACTTTTGAAGCTCACAATCTGTCCTAGTTTGCTAATGAATGATTGACACGACCGAAGCATTGTCTCAAGCTACCTATATACTCCATGATAGTTTAAACCGGAAAGTTTTTATAACATTTCCTAAAGTGTGTCATTCATTTTCGTTGTTTTCCTTGATTTGTTGCATGGGATAAAATATTTATATTGGAGTAGTTTGTCATCATGATTTCATGTGGTGTTAGTGACCGAATTGTACCATGTTAGTTGGTCGGAGGCAATCGACACGAAGTCGTGAACCCAGGCTTCGTGCTCGCTGGCACTCGTCAGTAAGGTGTACCTGGAATCTTGAGAGCGATGGACGTCCTGTGTGGACTTCGAACCCATGCCAATCAGTGTCATAGTCAAAGGTGTTAGCACGAAGCGATTCGGGCTTCTACCGACTGTTATATCTGACTCAAGCATATGATTTAGCACACCGATTACTTTTGTTCATTGCAACATTTTTATCCTTACGATGCCAGTAGAGTTTCTCCTCCTGACATTCTATTGACTAATCAGTTGTGAAAGAACTGAGTTTTGGTTTATTGCAATTCTATCTGTTGATTATCATAATAATAATGATAATAATAATTCTAATTCTAATAATCATTATTATTACTAATGGCACTATTCAATAATATATTTTGGTACAACATAGAATTCTCAGCACGAGGTTTGTGTGTGAAACAAATCATCATCTGTTGATCAGTCTCTTGACTTCCTACAGGAGTCTATCTAGTCACTTCGACAATCAACGATAATTCAGTCGACCACAACGATCATGTCACCGACCTCCTGTAGGACTGAGATATTTACACTGGTTCATCACAGAGTGGTAACCGATCCCATGTTTGTCTAATTCTGAATGATGATCGAATTCTATCGAACACTTGAACAAGTAGCCACATTGCAACTGCACGGATGGAATTGGATCAGCATTAAGAAGTAGGCAAACATGACATAATGATGTACAATCGGGCATAGTTACAGCTCGGTAATTAACTAGTATGAACTGAACTATGCCCTACCCCTAAATATCACACGTGTTAGTTCAACTACTTATAGTTGTGTCAGTAGTGAAACTCGATATTGGAATGTTTTTCGTGTTCGGAGTTGTGAATGAGTGAATGGGATAGGTGCACGTCTTAGATTTTGTCCATTTGTCCACACTGGCCGGACAATTGCGTTTGTATTAGGCACTCTGCATTGCATTGTGTTTAGGGAGGCTGTGTGTCAAATTTTGACTAGGAAACCATCTTGTTTGTGAGCATTTGGTCAGTAGTCTGGTAGTTGAGTGTGATTGGCCAATAGTGAATATACTTGTCGACAGGCCATTGGTCGATTGTTTTCTATCGAAGGTCATCGAAACTTCTAGTATGTTCTACGCGCAAAGGATTTAAGCAGGTGCACAGCTTGCAGTGGTATTAATTGAGTGATTCGATTTTCTGTGTTTGTTCGTTTTAACGTATCTCGAAATGCCTAACGCCATTGGGATCGATCTTGGTACAACATATTCGTGTGTTGGTGTTTTCCAGCATGGCAAAGTGGAGATAATTGCCAATGATCAGGGTAACAGAACGACACCGAGTTATGTGGCGTTCACAGATGCTGAGCGTTTAATTGGTGATGGAGCGAAGAACCAAGTGGCGATTAATCCAACAAATACAGTGTTTGATGCGAAGCGGCTAATCGGTCGTCGGTTCGATGATCCATCAGTGCAGAGTGATATGAAGCATTGGCCATTCGAGGTGGTTCAAGTCGGTGGGAAGCTGAAGATTCGTGTTGAATATAAGGGTGAGAAGAAGTTGTTCTCCGCGGAGGAGATTTCGTCAATGGTGTTGACGAAAATGAAGGAGGTTGCTGAAAGTTATTTGGGCAGGACGGTGAGTGACGCGGTTATAACAGTTCCTGCTTACTTCAATGACAGTCAACGTCAAGCGACTAAAGATGCAGGTGCTATAGCTGGTCTTAATGTGTTGAGAATCATTAACGAGCCGACAGCTGCGGCAATTGCCTATGGTTTAGACAAGAAGGTTGGTGGTGAGCGTAATGTGTTGATATTTGATTTGGGTGGTGGTACATTTGATGTGTCCATCTTGACGATTGAGGATGGTATATTCGAGGTGAAGTCTACTGCTGGTGATACACACTTGGGAGGTGAAGATTTTGACAATCGTCTAGTGGATCACTTTGTGAAAGAGTTCCAGAAGAAATTCGGTAAAGACATTCGTGACAATAAGCGTGCATTGCGTCGCTTGAGGACAGCGTGTGAACGTGCGAAACGTACATTGAGTTCGAGCACCCAGACAAATCTGGAGATTGACTCGTTGTGTGATGGTATTGATTTTTACACGTCGATTACTCGTGCACGATTTGAGGAGTTGAATGCCGATCTATTCCGTGGTACATTGGATCCTGTTGAGAAGGCTTTACGCGATGCTAAGATGGATAAAGCCCAGATTCACGACATAGTGTTGGTTGGTGGTTCCACTCGTATCCCTAAGGTGCAGAAGCTGTTGCAGGACTTCTTCAACGGGAAGGAGTTGAACAAATCCATTAATCCGGATGAAGCTGTGGCTTATGGTGCAGCTGTGCAGGCAGCCATTCTAAGTGGTGACAAGTGTGAGGCTGTGCAGGACTTGCTGTTGCTTGACGTGGCTCCACTGTCACTGGGTCTTGAAACGGCTGGAGGTGTGATGACGGCTCTGATTAAGCGTAACACGACAATTCCGACGAAGCAGACTCAAACGTTCACGACGTACTCGGACAACCAGCCTGGTGTGCTTATTCAGGTGTTCGAGGGTGAGCGTGCTCTGACGAAGGACAACAATCTGCTTGGCAAGTTCGAACTCTCAGGTATCCCACCTGCTCCTCGTGGTACTCCCCAGATTGAGGTGACGTTTGATATAGACGCGAACGGTATTCTGAACGTATCTGCTGTTGACAAGGGTACAGGGAAACAGAACAAGATAACGATCACAAATGACAAGGGTCGTTTGACGAAGGAGGAGATTGAACGGATGGTAGCTGATGCGGACAAGTACAAGGCTGAGGATGAGAAGCAGAGAGATCGTGTTTCTGCGAAGAACTCGCTTGAGAGTTATGTGTACACAATGAAACAGCAAGTGGAGGGTGAGCTTAAAGAAAAGATATCTGAAAGTGATCGTCAAGTGATATTAAGTAAGTGTGAGGATACAATTGGTTGGTTGGACCTCCATCAGTTGGCGGAGAAGCATGAGTATGAAAATAAGCGGGAGGAGTTGGAGAAGGTCTGTGCGCCGATAATTACGAAGGTGTACCAGGCTGGTGGTATGCCAGGAGGCATGCATGAAGCAGGTGGTGCTAGTGGTGGAAGTGGTAAGGGACCAACCATTGAGGAGGTCGACTAACCTGTAATTGTTGTGATTAATTATTTAGTACTTGAATGAATTTAGATTTTATCCGTAACGAATTTTGACTTGTGATTTTTAGTAGTTATCGGTTGTTTGGTGGTACGGGGTCAGGGTTTCGTTATTCGCGAGTAGTGAATATCGTTGTCTAGTGTCTGGTCGTTCAGTGTAGGATAGTGAGCGCTCTCTATCTCGTCCCGCACTCTATGTTGCGAAAGGCTTGTTAAGTTGAGTGTTGTGAACCTGTACGTGTGCGACGTGGCGTTTGTACCTCAGGACTATTGGTTGCGATTTAAATAGCACATCGTCTGTTCCTAGTTTATTTGACCGGAGTAGTTGTGGGACGTTGTTGCGTATACGTCAAGAAGACTGGGTGAATAGTTTGTGTGACTGTATGTTTCGATGGGGATTTTGGTGTAGTTGTAGTTGGTGAGTGGAGTGATAAGGCTATTCGTCGAGTGTTGTTGAGACTAATGAGCAGTTTGTTGAAGACAGGCGACTCGTCAGTCAGTCATCTACATGGTAGGACCTTGAGGGACGGTTGTTCCAGCCAGTATAGCTCAGTTGGTTCATCACGATAGGTAAGCCCGGCCACCACGTCAGGGTAGCGACAACGGTCGGGTAGGCGACTCGTGATTTTGGTCTGTAAGTGCATTTGCTCGAGAACTCGACTAACGAGCCAGTTAAGTGGTATGATTTCTTCTGAGACGGTTAGTGTTTAGTTTTAGTTGATTAGTGTGAACGGTCTCCAGTTCCTAGTTAGTTAATTACTGTGAAACAACAGAGGAGTTGTAAAATAAGTAGGGATAACGATGCACGTGTCTCACATAGTATTCCACGTTGGGATATGTAGGTTGGTGAAGTGTAATCAGCGTTTACTTAATTGCTAGAAGTGCCTATGTTTCATGGAGTCAGTTGACCACAGTGTGTCGAAGAACGGATGGTCGGTCAGTTGGATAATCCTATGTATGGAGGTGAATTTATTATAAGCTATATATGGTCGTCGGAGTTATAAACCTTTTACGTTGTAATTGGTAGGTATGTGTTCAGACTTGTAGGTGGTGATCAGACTGGTTGTCTTTTAATTCCGCGAAACGATGTGTGAGGTTGTTTGGAGATGCCTACATGTGGCTGAAATAGAAGTGGCGTTCGTGTACGCAACAACTGGAGGGGAGGGGTAAGATGGTGCGTATGTATGGATGAGCATGTTTGTAAGCTGGCATATTGGCCTTGCATCTTGTATGCTGATCTCAATTGAGTCAACTAGTGCGAGATGTGAACGGTGCAGTCATGTCGCATTCATGCAACTAGGTGAGTTTCCAGTGAGTCAACGAAGCTTCCTGTGGGCAAAGCCGGACTTTCAGGATGAGATGAATTCGTGTCTTTAATTGAGCGCTTCCCGTGAACTAGAATCAGTCTAGAATTACAACATTTAATATTAGAATATAATAGCCACCATACCATGGATGTTTGATCAATCCATAGAGAATGGTGTGAAACCATGTTTTATAAACATTGTTAATTTGGCTGTGGTAGTATAGAGAAAGAGAGTAGTGAGTGTGAGTTGAAGTATATTAATAAAAGTAACTAGGGTACGTATGGGATTATTAGTGGATGAGAAGAGGTGGTGGGGCGAAGTTGGTTGACTGTGTCCTGTAGGCCTTATTGTTCTCGCTTTATTCAAAGTCATCGTAATGATTAAATGTGTGCGCTTCGTCAGCCCTTGAACTTAGGATTTTCTATATCGTGTTCCGCCTAGCCTAGGTGTTCAGCAGTGATTTACAACTGAGAATTATGTGATTTCAGTTTTAGAATTGCGAGTGAGCATAGCAAGGCGTATACTAAGTAATTGGGAAATTGTGTGAATCAGTCAAAAATGCGAGCACAACCTGACATCACTGAACTTGTGAGTGTCCTTTGTAGAATACTTTTGAAGCTCACAATCTGTCCTAGTTTGCTAATGAATGATTGACACGACCGAAGCATTGTCTCAAGCTACCTATATACTCCATGATAGTTTAAACCGGAAAGTTTTTATAACATTTCCTAAAGTGTGTCATTCATTTTCGTTGTTTTCCTTGATTTGTTGCATGGGATAAAATATTTATATTGGAGTAGTTTGTCATCATGATTTCATGTGGTGTTAGTGACCGAATTGTACCATGTTAGTTGGTCGGAGGCAATCGACAAGAAGTCGTGAACCCAGGCTTCGTGCTCGCTGGCACTCGTCAGTAAGGTGTACCTGGAATCTTGAGAGCAATGGACGTCCTGTGTGGACTTCGAACCCATGCCAATCAGTGTCATAGTCAAAGGTGTTAGCACGAAGCGATTCGGGCTTCTACCGACTGTTATATCTGACTCAAGCATATGATTTAGCACACCGATTACTTTTGTTCATTGCAACATTTTTATCCTTACGATGCCAGTAGAGTTTCTCCTCCTGACATTCTATTGACTAATCAGTTGTGAAAGAACTGAGTTGTGGTTTATTGGAATTCTATCTGTTGATTATCATAATAATAATGATAATAATAATTCTAATTCTAATAATCATTATTATTACTAATGGCACTATTCAATAATATATTTTGGTACAACATAGAATTCTCAGCACGAGGTTTGTGTGTGAAACAAATCATCATCTGTTGATCAGTCTCTTGACTTCCTACAGGAGTCTATCTAGTGCCCCCAAATGCCCTGGTATTGCCGAGAGCTGGGAGGGTTCGCCCTCCCTCTCGAAATACTCTCACACGGCCACGCGTATACAGCCTCTGCCAGGGAAGTCCTACTCACTGCCTTCTCGTGGCGGGGGTGTTGTTTACGAAAATGAGAGGACGAAAAGCGAACGTCCGGCGCTATAACCGGATCCCAATTCTATGGTGCACATGTGCTCCAGTATCCTGAAGGAACAAATGGCGTATGAACCAACTTTTGGTCACCGGCTTCCATGGGACTGCATCTCCTCACGATGCTCCACTGCCTTGTGGACTAGACCTTTAGGTCAAAGGCTCGGGGTGTGCCCCCCTAAGAAAACCACCTGCTTCGGTTTGGGCACCCGGGCAGTATCTCAGCCCACACACCAAAACATGATGAAATATTCGCTTACGGAAAATATTCGTTCTTCTCTGACTAACATTGAAATGACTGATACTATTATTATTATTATTATTATTATTATTGTTATTATTATTATTATTATTATTATTATTATTATTATTTACTACGTCATTTACTCACTATCTCCTATTTCTACTTTTTGTATCCGTTTCGACTCAGACAGCAGCTCGCCTATGGTAAAAATTCAGCTTTATCTAAACGTTCTCGAGTCACTGCCTGGTTTGAAAATTGTATGTTACCATCGAATAAGAGTACTGAAGCAGTCTTTCTGAAACCACGCGCACCATTCAAACTGGCTGCCTTTAACGTTCGCACACTTATGCAGGTCGGACAACAGATAGGGCTGGCAATGTCTTTGGAAAGTCTTAATATTGATGTGTGTTGTCTATCCGAGACCCGTATTCAAGACTCTGGTGAAGTACTACAAGTTCGCTCTCCATCTGTCGCTCCAAAAAGCTTGTTTTACGTGCGTTTATCCGGGGACCCTGTGGCATCTTCGTCTGGTCTTGCTGGCGTTGGTGTCGCACTAAGCGCAAGAGCTGAGGCAGCACTAGTCGACTGGATCCCCATTAACAGTCGGTTATGTGCTGTTAGATTAGAAAGTACCATCAGAGTGAGAAGAAATCGGCGTGAGAAACGATGTCTTTTAGTCATCTCCGCCTATGCCCCGACAGATTGCAGCCCGGATGCAATCAAGGATGAGTTCTACCACCAGTTATCTGTTCTTCTCCAGAAAGTGCGTTCGACAGATATTGTAGTACTAGCTGGAGACTTGAATGCTCAGGTCGGGCGTCTAGGCACAGAAGAGAGTCGTTTAGGTGGCCGATGGGGACTCGTTGGTCGCAGGACAGATAACGGGGAACGTCTAAAGCAACTATGCACAGACCACAACCTGTTTCTGGCTAGCACTAACTTTCGGCACAGTCATCGCCGATGTGCCACCTGGCGTCCCCCTTCTGCATCTCAAGCCTGGACTCAGATTGATCACATCGCGATCAGCTACCGCTGGCGCGGTTGTGTACAAGACTGCCGCTCCTTTTGGAGTACCTATCTGGAATCTGATCATGCTCTGGTCTGCGCCAATCTTACCTTACTTTTCAGTGGACAACGAAGTGACCGCCACCACAGGATTGATGTTAGCAAGCTGGCTGCAACTTCTGTTGCTAGTAAGTACCGAGCCGAGCTAGCTTCTAGGCTAGCCACTATTCCACCGAAAAGTATAGATGAGCATTGGTTGCAATTGCATGACGCCATGAAAATGGCGGGTCAAGTCAGCTGTGGGATTGCGAAACGTCCCGCTTACAAGCACTGGGTTTCTTCTGGTTCCTTACAACTGATTGAAGCCCGTCGGTCTACTCCGGGTGACCGTGAGTTTGACCACAGACGAAGGTTGTTACGTAATGAAATCGGGCAAAGCTTGCGTAAGGACCGAGAAACCTGGTGGTCGGAGCGTGCCAGTGAGTTGGAAGCAGCAGCTGCATCTGGTAATTACCGGAAGCTCTTCCAACTCATCCGAGCCACTGGCAGCAAGAAGTCTGGTGTGAGCGAAACAATCTGCGAGGATGACGGAACGCCAATCACTAACATCCATCGACGTCTTGGACGATGGGCAGAATTCTTTGAAGGGCAGTTCAACTGGCCTGCTGCTCCGGCAACATCGGTCAGACTGTCCTGCCCTCCTTGGCCGGTGACGACTGATCCACCAAATGAGGCGGAAGTCCGCAAGGAACTCCAACTCTTGAAACGTTACAAATCACCAGGCCCAGACGACTTACCTTCGGCTCTTTTTAAAGATGGTGGTGACTTTCTGACTAAAGGACTGACGACGTTGTTTACAAAGATCTGGGAACTAGAGAGTGTACCAACGTCATGGAATGAGTCGATAGTTGTCCCTATCTTTAAAAAGGGTTCACGTTGTTCCTGTAACAACTATCGGGGGATAA